ATTAAGAAATTCATCAGAAATATTCTGTGAATTATGTAGTTTTTTTAATGCCACAGACATATCTTTACTAGTTCTTTCATGATTATAATTTATACTTCTATAACCATTTAACCAAGTAGCTTTGGATATTATTGCAAACCCATCTTCACCTATCTTTTCAATACTTGTCAAATCATTATAAGGAATCCATTTGAGATGATTACTATAATGATATCTTGTTGCTTTAAGTTGTGTACTTTTAATCAACTCATCTAATGTTTCATTGCCACTAGTCCATCCTTCAGTTAACAAATTTGGTTCACATGATCGACACCATGAATAATAAGTATTATATCTCTTGCAGGTTGGACATTCCCCATGATATTTCTCTCTTTCATTTGAATATTCATCATTTTTGTCAGTAGAAGTATTGTCATGATTTTTATTCTCATCCAAAATGTTTTCCATTGTGGTTTTTGTATATTTGTAAAAAAAAATTTTTTTTAAAGAACTTTTTTTTTTTTAGCCACAAATATGTATCACAAAAAATATATTAAATATATTTAGATTTATCTAAAAAAAAATTAAATTTTACCTGAACTACAACAATTCAGCATTGACACCCTAAAGTTGTAAAACTGTAATAAATATTGCAAGCATGCAATCAGAGTTATTGGAGTCACCAAATCTGAAAAACTAAATTAAAATCACTATATACAACTATACTGCTTGATTAGGGTTTCTATTTGAATAAGGGTTTTATTCAAATTATTTGTTTTACTTGTTATGAATTTGAGTATTTGAATTACATTGGAAGTTTATTTGAATAAAATGAATAATGAATAATTCAATAATTCAAAAGACAAATAAACAAATAATTCAAATAAACAAATAAACAAATAAAATAAATAATTCAATTGATAATTTAAATAAAACAAATAAACGAAATAAAATGAATAATTCAAGCAAAATAAATATTTGAATAAACGAATGATAACAATTCAAATAATTAACGAATGATGTCAACAATTCGAATAATAAACGAATGATGTCAATTCGAATAGACGAATTATAACAATTCAAATAATAACAATAAACGAATGATGTCAATTCGAATGATAAACGAATGATGTCAATTCGAATAGACGAATGATGATAATTCAAATAATAATGATAAACTAATGACGTCAATTTGAATAATAATAAACGAATGATGATAAATCGAATAATAATGATAAACAAATGATGTCAATTTGAATAATAATAATGAATGAATGATGATAATTCGAATAATAATGATAAACGAATGATACAATTCGAATAATGATAATAAACGAATGATGATAATTCAAATGATAAACGAATGATGATAATTCGAAGAATAAACAAATGGTGATAACAATTCGAATAATAAATGAATGATGATAATTTGAATAATAATAACAAACGAATGATAACAACTCAAATAAATGAATGATGATAATTCGATTAATAAACAAATAATAAATGAATGATGACAATTCAAATAGATGAATGATAACAATTCAAATAAACGAATGATGATAATTCGAATAATAAACAAATGATTCAAATAATAAACAAATTATAATAATTCAAATAATAAACGAATGATGTCAATTCGAATAATAACAATAAACGAATGATGTCAATTCAAATAATAACAATAAACGAATTATTTCAATTCGAATGATAAACGAATGATGTCAATTCGAATAATGAACGAATGATGTCAATTCGAATGATAAACGAATGATAACAATTCGAATGATAAACGAATGATACAATTCGAATGATAAACGAATGATGTCAATTTGAATGATAAACGAATGATGTCAATTTGAATGATAAACGAATGATGTCAATTTGAATGATAAACGAATGATGACAATTCGAATGATAAATAAATGATGTCAATTCGAATAATAATAATAAACGAATGATGTCAATTCAAATGATAAATGAATGATGTCAATTCGAATAATGATAATAAACGAATGATGTCAATTCAAATGATAAACGAATGATGATAACAATTCAAATAATAAATGAATGATGATAACAATTCAAATAATAAAAGAATGATAACAATTTGAATGATAAACGAATGATATCAATTCAAATGATAAACGAATGATTTGAATAATTCAAACAAAAATTTGTATTACGAATAGAAACTCTGCTCTATTCCAGAGTCATCAAATCTAGCACAAACTACAATACTTGAGGCATCCCTCAAACAATATAGTAAAATAATAAAAGGGGTCTCTAACTAATAATTAAATGTTTGCCAAACCATTAATCATCAAAAAGGGTTATGAATCAATCAACCATGCAAGATTTATCAATTAATGAAAGCATTATTTTTATTACCAAAGTGTTATAAGATTATTTATTTATTTTTATTGATTAATTTTTTTTCACTAAAGGGGATTTCAAGCATATTTATGTTTCTTAAAGTATTACAAATAACATGACTGTCCAATAAAATAAAATAAAATAGAATGATAAATGATGACTAATTGACAATTACTAAAGTTAAATGTCAAAAATGTGTCATTGATGATATCATGTTTAAATGATACCTGATGAAATGTTTTTGTCATAATTAAAAATAAAATTTATCTTTCTTGAAAATATTATTAAACAGAAAAATATGGCAATGTAACTCTGAACATATTTATATTGCACCAATTCATTAATGGCATAGAAGACTTTGATGAACCTTTTTTTTGGAGTAAACACAGCTTTAATAGGATAAGTTTCTGGATTATTTTTGCAGGAAAATCAATTAATTAGCTGAATAAACCCTGAATTAGAGATAAATCTGTTTTTTATTTATTTATCAGATCAACTTACTTATTTAACTATCAAACAATTATACTATTGATTAAGGCTCCAAACGAATCAATGAAATTTGAACCGATTCGAACCACTTAATTTTTGATTTGAATCAGTTCAAATCAAATTTGAATCGAATCGAATTGTACTTTGATTTGATTTGATTTGATTTGAACTGATTTGAATATATAATTTAATTTGAACGGATTCGAATTCAGATTGATTTGATTTGATTTGAACGGATTCGAATATATAATTTGATACAATTCGAACTGATTCAAATATATAATTTGATTTGAATCAAATACACTATATATAATAAATGAAAAATCTTTATTTTAATGTATATTTTATAATTTTATTTACAAAAAATATTTTTTATTTTATATTTATTTATATAGTATAAATATTGTAAAATTCAAAAAAAAATTTTTATCTGGAGCAATAATTGCATCTCTTGTTGAAGAAATTGAAGAAGTTGAAGAAGCATCAGTAATATTAGTAGGGATGGGAACGGTTCAACCCAAATCGGTTCAACCGGCAGTTCGAAACTGAACCGATGCGGTTTGGTTTACACATTTCAAACCGCGGTTTAATCAACCGCGGTTAAACCCCAGTTCAAACCCCGGTTCAGTGGTTCTGACCAATAAAAATTAACTACGTTTATTTTTAATTTTTTTTAGAATATGTATATTCCTTAAAAAATATTTTTTTTGCAAGAATGTCAATTGACAAAAGAATTGATAATGCTGCACTTTCACCTACTTCAATTGTTCAAATTTTTGATAATGATACCAATAATAGTTCATCAATAATGCAAATTCCTGATATCAATAATTCAATTCAAATACATGACATTATGCTTGTACCTTCCATTTCATCATCATCATCATCATCATCATCATCATTACCATCATCATCATCATAATCATCATCATAATCATCATAATCATCATCATCATCATCATCATCATCATCATCATCATCATCATCATCATCATCATCATCATCATCATCATCATCA